AATTATACCACCAGAAGAAATCCAACTTCTAGTTTCTTGTTGTATGCTTTCTAATATAAAAGCAGAAATCCCTTATTAAGGTTTCTTATGTAGCGTGTATATTACTTACAGTGTAAACTTGTCATGTTAAAAAATACTGAATAAGCCAAAATATGTAGAGTAATATTTTTGTCATGAATATTATAGTTTAAAACTTAAACTATTCAACATGACTGTACTTATAAGGTACAAATTATCTTCCCCTTTTTCCATGAACGTTATTCTTTTTAATTTTTTTATAGGATGCTCTATTGTTCCTTCAAAACTTTTTCTCTGAGATTGCTGGAGTGTCTTCTAAGACTGGACATTGTAAGTCTATCTTTAAACTGATTCATCAGATAAATACGAAGTTTTATAATAAATATTTAAAACTTGGTAATACCAGAAACGTCTTTAATATGGACGTCTCTGAATTTCCTTAAATTCCAATATCAGCATTAATGTCTCCAAATAAATTAGTTCATAATATTCGAACTACAAAAAACAAGATTACAAACACTATTAACGACAGACTCTCAATTTTCAGTGATCATTCAATGCTAAATAATAACATCAACTCCTCCCTGTTGTCATTAATGTAATCAGTTCCGGATTCTCAGTGTTTTTATATGATATTTATTATTATTTTTAAGATGCAGATATTTCAGCCTTTCTCTACAGTAATTTCTCTTAACAATGTTATTTATTAAGCGTGTATGCCACTCAATTTTTTTTTCTTACATTCCATTATATTCTTACTATTTAAATCTATTCTTTCTAAAGTTCCAACTGAATACAAAAACTCGCTCAATGCTAATGTTGTTTTTGTAGTTCAAATATTATGAACTAATTTTTTTTTTAATATTAACATTGATGATGGAATTTAAGGAAATTCCGAAATGTCCATCTATCTTTTAACTAAGTGATCAGATGAAAAAACGTCTGTCTATCTTTTAACTTTTGCAAAACATCATTACTATTTTAACCAAGTAAATAGAAAAAACACAGAGATGATTATTCACAGTTGTAAGTCTAGTAAAGTGTCAGTTAACATTTCTTGTTTATAAATGTGGATTATTAAAACTGGAAAGAAAAGCATTAAATAACTATTGTAAAGTAATATGCTCAATTTATGGGTTTATTCAGTTATGAACATGTGCTAGAACTACAGTATGAGTTTTCTATTGTAGGGAAAGTGCAGTAAATATTTTTCAAAGCAAGCTTTAAAACGTTTTGATGTTTTATACTTGTCTTAACATTCCTTCCTTTGGTTCCAATATAATTTGTGGAGAGAGAATTAACATTTGAGATTATATAAAGACCTAAAAGACCATTAGTGCTGTCAAAATTAATTGGTACCTTTGTTGTTGTTCTTATATTAATCAGTTGGTATGGTAATACACAAAACAATTGTTGGTGGATTTTTTAATGGAAAGTTTTAGGCTTTGTGAGATAATTTTACATATTTGAATACTGTAAAATTCAGTAAAAAGTTACTATAGAAATATAATAATGTTTCAAACTTGGTTTGGTATACGTGTATTTATTTCACATAGTACATGTATTAGAAATGAGTTCAAGTAGTTATGATACCCAACAAAGTGACAGTTGTAAAGGCTAAATTCAAAAGATTGGTTTCTGTGTATTTCAAAGCAAGTAAAATATTGCATTTGTAGATATATTTATCAGCACTTCTTCTCAATAAGTAAAGGAAATCTCGTGGCAACAAACAGAAATAGAGATATTTTAATAGTTAATAACCTTTACAACAGCATTTATTGATTTAAGTGATAAGAATGTTACTGCTATAAAAGCTCAAAATTTCTTGAACATCCTTTGTTGTATTTACATAGTCATTTATATGTAAATTGTCCAGGAAAAATCAAAGAATCATTTTGGACAAAACTCTCCGACAGGTGTTTTGTAATCAAACATTAAAATACTAAATACTTCAAACTTGTGTAGTTACAATGATTTTGTAATTATAGTTGAATATACAAAACCTTACCTGTAGCCGTTTTGTGCTAATAAAGTTATTTTATTATATGTATATATATATATTTATTTTTTTTTAAGCAATTTCATTGTTTTTTG